ATGAAAACCTTGATCGCATTTACATCTATAAATTGGTCAGGATTTGGAAATAGTACCAACCCATAGATGAGAAGAGCCAAAATTTCCTCGAAGGCTTGTAGATCCAAAGTATTCCAACACTCTTGAGCCTTCTCCAACAAAAACTTTGCTAGGAACCCTTTGACACCACTTCTTGTTACCCAATTTGCTACTATGTCAGATGGTTGCAAATGTAGAGCTCGAGCAATTTCCTCAGGTTTAGGGTCTCTTTCACTACCGTTGAAAGGTAACTGATTAATAATAGGGATCCTCATGAGTTGAGAAAATTCTTCCAAAGTGGGCACAAGTTGGTAATCGGGAAAAGTGAAGCAATGATGCAAAGGGTCAAAGAATTGGATGAGCACATTTACCATATCTTCTTCAATACTTGAGGTAACATAACTAAGGAGTCGACCATGTCTTTTGGTGAACGGAGAATCTTCAGGGACCCTTGATACTAAATCCTTGAGTTGTGGAGGTATCCTCACGAGGCTGACTTGGATAGTGCTCCTACGAGTGGAAGCCATGTCCTACAAAACAGAACAAAGATAAATCCAAAAATCCTTGAAATGGTTAGTGAGAAAGCTTATGGTATGATGTTTATGATGCTTATAATGTTATGTACAAGTGTATATACAAAGCAAACAAGTCCTTAGTTTAGGCTTGCATGGGGTTTCAGGTAAGTACCCTCTTGAAGTTTAGTTGGCTCATCCTGTCCTAGTTAATAGTAATCGGGTTCAAAGGGATCTTAATATCACTGATCTTTCCCCCAAGTTTCGTTCAATAAGGGATTGACTCACAACCAAACAAAACTCAAGAGTCAAACCTCAATGAGTGTAGTATCGAGTATCTACCAACTTTAGACTGCACCAAAGCCGGTCATCTCACTACGTCCTAATGGCCAAGTTGGTCAAGTAAGGTTCTAAGGTCAGTTGATGCTTTACGACACCACGCGGCGGCCTCGTACTCTCCTTAACTGACTCAAGGGTTACCGGTACCAACCAAAGTGCCACATCAACGTAGCTACTGCTTCAACCGTGTCGGTATACCCCGCACTGTTCCCTCACAGTTTATTGCTACTTACCTAAAAGGTATCCCCAAATCCGGGTGTAGGATTTAAAACAAACCCAAACAAGGAACCAAAATGTAAAGCAAACAAATCAAACAATGTAAGCAAGTGAATATGATCTATCCCTAAGGTAACCCCACTTTTAGAATCAATTTCCTCAGCAGAGTCGTCAGTTCTGTGATACGGTGGGAGAACTGACTTAAGGTTTTGTGTTTACGTTCGCAAATGTTGCGGTTTAGCAAGAGTCGCCACCTACTTTTCTTTTATCCAAAAAGGAAAGGTGAAAAAGCACAGGAAAGACCTTTAGAGATGTTTTCTTGAGTTCGGGGGGTAGATTATAAAAAGGGAAGGTATTATCACCCTTTCCATCCATTGTTTTCCATGGGCTCTTAGTTACTTGCTAGATCACTTGCTTTTTGTTTGAAAAAAATTGTGCTTTTGTATGGTCTTGAAAGTATTTTGAAAAGGTGCCATCGTTTAGGAAAACTTTGTAATAGTTCTCGTTCGTAAGAACGTATATAAAGTGTTGAGCTTTTGAAAATGTTTCAAGTTTGGAAAGATGTTTGGAAAGTGTATGTGATTATTTTGAAAATAGCAAGGATATTTGTTTCGAAATTGAGCAAGTAACTAAAAGTAATCTACCTACTCAAAAGGTTTTAGATGTGCTTTTCCTCCTCCTTTAGATGTTGTTATTTTACCATTGATTTGGTAAGAAGCCTCATCGTTGGATGTGAAGGGACGGGTGTTGGGTCATCGTATGACCATGATAGCAATGTTGTGAGATGACTTAGCACTTTTCCTTTAGGGACTAAGATCATTTTGAAAGGCAACTTTGATAGCATCATCGAGGGACTATGATCTTGTATTTTTCGATTTGTTTGTTCTAAGACCTCCCACGTGCATAACATGGCCATTTTTGTAAGGCAAAAAGTGGAATTACCCTAAGGGTGTAAGTGTGCGAGTGTGTTTGATTGCATGCATAATTTGTCTTGAATTAGGGTTTTCTATTTGTCAATTTTCATATCTTGTCATACACACCCTAATTACTAGCATATATTGAAAGCAATAACAGTGCAGAAATGTAAAGTCCTATGCTATTACAATATTTAGGGGGATGGGGATACATATTTATGAATCGGGGTTGAAAGTTAAAATTCTAGGTTACTATTACAACTACATTGAAATAGATAAGAAGGTACAGGAAATGTGAAGTGTTTGTCTGTTTAAAAAAGAAAAATAACCTTTGTTTAAGAAAATATTTGTTGTCTCTCTTTTTTTGTTAAAAAGAAAATATAATATGCAAATATAAAATATTTTTGGTATTTTTTTATTAATGAAAGATAAAAGTGATGAAAAGAAATAATAAAGGAAAGAAGACAAAATCAGCGTAAATGCTTAAACAAAAGAGGTCAGAAGTTCTGACTCTGACGGGCTGCACAAACAGAAACATGTTAGTAAGAATATGGAAACTCAGAAGTTCTGGATCTTCTGAGAACTCAGAAGATTTCAGAAGTTCTGACGCAACTGTCAGAAATTTGCTTCTCTCTATACCAGTCAGAACATCTGTAACTTAGTTATTTCTTAACACAACAGAAGTTTGCATACATACTAATTATGACAAATTTCATGAAATATCAGAAGCATAAATCAGAAGCAACATGTATTTTCTAATTCTAATTCTGAGTCCTAATTTCTCTATGAAGTTCTGAATAGGGATTTCTTCTACTTAGGCAGGCAGATGCGTGAATTTTCAGGATATATACATCATCATGATCAGAATATCTACATTGTGTTAAATAAGCAAAATCTGACCATGCTTAATTAGTATGATGAGAGTCAGCGGAAAACTTACCTTGTAGCTGGAAAGGATTCTGTGAACTGGAGGTTGGTCTTGAATTCTGGTGATGTTCTGAGTGACTTCTCCACGTACTCAGCAGGATGGAAATTTTCAGCTTGGATTGTAAACGATTAGAAGATTCTGGAATTACCAAGGGATGAAGTTCTGATCCTTTTGAAGTGGATATTGGTGGAGAATGTGTTACTGTTTGATTACAGAATTTGGGATGGCTTTTGTCAAGAACGCTTGAGGAAGAAGTGGAGTTTGAATGTAAGGAATCAATGTTAAGATTTTGGTATTTTGTGTTTATAGTTTCCTGGGTTCTTGGAATTTTTGCAGTGGTTCAAAGCTTTCTCTCTCAGTTTTCTTGCCTCTTTCACAAATTTTTCTGGACCCTTTCTCAGTGGCCAATGGTGTTCTATTTATAGGCAAAGTTTTGCAGTTGGGGCAGTCAAGTGGCACCAACATCATGTGCTAGATGTTGACTTACTCTTGAAGTAAGCTTAAACAAATGGGGTTCAATGTATCAAGTTGGATGGTTAACAGTGCCTAAGCTGGATTTGGCAGCGTGAATTAAGGAAAAGTAGAAGCAGCACGTGGGTCTAGCATACTTTGCACAAAAGTTTGTCTTCCCAAGACAGTAGGGGTACACGTGGTGATAATCCCTTGGATAAAGACTTAACAAGTGGTTGTGAGTATTAAATGGGTTCCCATGTGAAACTTTGTGTCCTTGCTTAACTCTGGATCAGAAGTTCTGCTTCAGTGTAACATCCAATCTCTGATCTTTGTATCTTCTGATTTCAGTGTATTCTGAAGGATCCTTCAAAACTTCCAGTATACTTACAACACGCTTTGTTACCTTCTTTGTTTTAACCTTTGCAAACTCTGACTGAATCTTTGTGAACACTGGCCCAGAAGTTCTGACCAAACTGTCTTGAGAATATCCAGAATTTACTGAGTGTGAACACTGGCTCAGAAGTTCTGAAATTGTCATATTTCTTAAATACTTAGAAAAATTTCTAAGTTTTTAGAATTTGATTCTTCCAAAATAAAATTTGACTTTTGAAACTCTTGATGAAGCAAACTTCATATTCCAACATGTCTTGATAAAATATGATTTTTGAGATTTGATTTTGATCCAAAAGTCAAAGTTAGACTTCTCAGTGTAAAAATGACCATTTTTCCCTTGTGAATGGTTTGCTTGGAAAAATTGATAATTCAAGGCTTGGAATTGGATGAGAGAAAACATGAGGATCCAGGGTGATTCCTTGAGAAATGAGAGGGAAAATTTTGGGGTGCAACAGTGGGCAATACATAATATATTTGGTTTTTGCCAAAGCACAAGTCTCCTAGACCCTTAGATATTTTAATAAATAGCGAGGTTAAAAAACTTTGAAGTTTTAAAAAAATTGAGATTTTTTTGAAATGAGGTGTCATCTTATTGTGGTACCTCTTAGACTTGGAGCTCTTATATGAGATTAAAGACTAAGAATTTTTTGGAAAAGGATCTTCTCCCTTGTTTCATTCAGCCATCTCTCCAACCCAAAATCTAACGGTTGATATAATACGAAGATTAAAAATATTTTAAAAAGTGGTATATAAGAGAGAAAATACACATTGACCTTTTTCTTACTTTGTTTGCGCGGGAGTCCATTTTTTTATACTGTACGGGTGTTTTAACTTCCACCAAATAATAACTTTACTCATACTTCTACAAAACATTCTTCTTATAACATTTTCATTCATACTTCTACAAAAACATTCTTCTTATAACATTTTCATGAAGAAGTGGCTCCACCATTAATACTTTTTCAACAAGGTTAGTTTTTTTACTTTTACTTTCTAAACTCTTAAATAAGCTAAATGACTACAAATATTTGTGTAGATTCTAACATTTTAGTTATCTACTGAAGTTATTTAGAGTAAGGCGACACTGATTTTGGTGATAACGATATTGGTATCGACACAATCAAATATTTTTTAAAATCCTTAGCTATAAGGATTATTCAACAAAATATAGAATAATTCCTTTGATTTCTTACTAGATAAAATAAAACACGGAACTTTTTATGCAAGATGCAAGAAGATTGGAAACCAAAGCTTAAAATGATTTTTGATAATATTGAAGATGCTTGGAAATTTTGGGTTGATTATGGTGGAAAAGTTGGATTTGGAGTGAGGAAACAAAATTCACACAAGAACAAAAATGGTACAGTTACTTCGTACAAGTTTGCTTGTTATAAAGAAGGTTTGCAAAAATCAAATAAACGAGATTATAAGACTATAAATCCAAGGCCAAAGACTAGGACAAATTGTCAATCAAGGTTGGGCATAAAGAATATGGATGAAAATTTTATGGTTGTTGATTTTATGGAGGAGCATAACCATGTTTTACATCTACCAGAAACAAATCATATGTTGGCATCTCAAAGAAAAATATCTCAATTTCAGTGCCAACAAATTGATCTAGTAGATGGTGATGGAATACAACAAAGAAAATCATTTGATTTAATGAGTAAGGAAGTGGGCGGTAGAACTAATTTTGGATTTACTCGTCTTGATCAAAAGAATTATCTCCTGAAAAAAGGGAGAGGAGTGTGATACACAGGGAAGTTGGTTACTTATTGCAATACTTTCAAAGAAAGTTGGTAGGAAATCCAACCTTTTATCATGCATATCAAATGGACGTTGAAGAACAAATCACTAATGTTTTTTGGGCAGATGCAAGTATGGTCACTGATTATGAGTATTTTGGTGATGTAATTTCTCTTGATTCAACATACTGCATAAATGCTTCACATAGGCCACTTGTCGTGTTCCCAGAATTTAACCACCATCAAAAAGCGGTAATATTTGGGGTTGCGTTGTTGTATGATGAAACAATAGAGTCATACAGTAGCTCTTTGATACATTTTTAGAGGCTAATAAGGAAAAAATGCCTCTAATAGTTTTGTAACCTAAAATTTTCCCTCCCATTTTACTCAACAAATGTAAATGGAGGTCCCCAAGTTGCTCAAGGAAGTCCAAGAGTTGACCAGACAAACTCTCTCCTAAGGCAGTATACCTCAAATTAGGGTTTCCACTTTCATCAAGATTTGTGAACCAAAAAGGGCTCAAATTATTTCCAAGGTTTTAATATGTTCTCAAGACCCTACATGTCAAGTTTCATACCTTGCACAAGAAGTTTACTCAGACAACTACTCAGATGCTTGAGAATCGACTATATTAGGTCAAAAGTCAACTATGACCCACATACAGTCAAAATTCAAGATTTTTGGTCAACATCAACATTTTGAAGTGACTTTCATCATTTGATAAAGGGTTGACCATGATTCCCCAAGGAATGCTCCAAATTCATCAAAACCCAAAAGTTGCTAAATTAAGGTTTTGTAGGAAAAGTAAACCCAACTTTGACCAAGCATAACTTCTTCATACTTTATCAGAAATTTTCCATCCAGGGTTCATTTTTAAGAGGATGCAATTCCCTACCATTCATATTCATCCCACAAGTTCAAAATATGCACTCATCAAAAGATATGAATTTTGACATTATAGGTCCTTTTGAAAAGTCAACAAAAACACCTTTTGGGTCAAAGCTTCATACATGAACATGGAAGATCCAATTGAGATGAAACAAAAAATTTTGTTTAGAGGATATCCTAAGATTTCTAAAAAGTCCAAGAACACCATCCTAGGGTCAAAATTGAAAGAGTTGTGCGTTGTCAAAGTTGGCAATTTTTGGAAAATTATCAAAAGTCAACATTGATCAAATTTGCATTTTTTTTCCAAAGGGGCCCATGTTTTCTTGTTTGAAACATGTTTCTAATAGGACCCACAACCCCTGAGCTTTTCCACCTATTATTTTATTATTTTTATCATTTATTTTGATTTTTTATTCATTTAAACCAAAATAAATCAAATTAAATGGTAAAATAATAAAAGCTAATCAAATCTTGGGATTTTTGTGCACATTATGAGTCCATAGACAGCTAGCATGGCATGTAATTCGTGTAGGGATGATTTAGATTGAAAAAGTCATGATTGAAGCTATTTTGGAAAGAAATCATACAAGGCCAAAATTAAATTAAATCTTCATAATTCCTCAAGATACCATGAGATTTCTTCCATTATTTTTGACCTAAATTCCTCCTCTATATAAACACAACACCCTCATACACTAGGGCGCACGGAATTGGTTGCACAAGAACACTCTCTAAAAACCTCAAATTCTGTCAAAACTAGTGCAAAGTCAAAACCAAAGATCCAGCCACTTTCAGTCCAAGCCATCAATTACAAATCATTCATGAGGTATCTAAGGGTAAGAATAGGTCGAAAGTCATGTCCATTGATGCTTGAAACAAGCATACTCATCTTCTCCGATTTGCTTTTCTTTCAAACATTCATATAATTAATTTCATGCATTGCTAATGTTTATTAACTGTCCAAATAAGTTCTTGTTGTCACGTAGAACAGGTTTGAATCACAAACAATAACTTGGCTTGGTGGATGAGGAACCTAACTGTGACCCAAGGGGAATGGGTTCATCATCCACCCCATGCATTTTTCACTTTTTTGACTATTTTCTTTTCTAACCCTTTTCATTTATTTATTTTTCACTTGATTTGTTTTCTATCATTAATTTAATTAACATATAAAATCACAAAAAAAATCATTAAATATTAGTTTTAGGCTTTTAATTAATTAAAATAATTTTTGACATAAAAGTTGTTTTGATTTAATCAATATTAATTTTATTTCATAATTAACTTGTAAATTAATCAGAGTTAGGTTTTTAATTATTAATTCACACTTTTATTATTTTCCTAACAATTTACTGCAGATTCAGTACATCACCATTCCATGCGTTCATCATACACTCACAAATCCTACCCTTTGGATCATCCCTTGGTCCAGATCCAGCGTTCAACCACAGTAGTCCATGGTGCACTCTCTGAAGTTAATCCACATGGGATCACACGCAAGGAACATGGGCCAACCAATTTGGGCCTAACAATTTGGAAATGCACCCCCCAGTCTGCATTCTACCACACAGGCCCAATCTTTTCTTTTTTATTTTATTTCAATTCTTTTTATTATTTTAATTTATTTATTTTATTTATTTTCCAAAAAAAATCATTTTTAATCAAAACATAAAAATCAGAAAATCACAAACAATATTAGGTTTAGTCTTTTTTTTCATAAAATATTTAATTGCATTAATTAGTTTAATTAGGTTAACTTAAATCTTTTTTTCATAATTAAAATCAAATAGAAATTAGGTTTAATTCTTAATTTTAATTCCTTCTCAAAATAAAAACACAAAAATAGGTTAATTGTTTTTTTTCATTAATTTAATAATTTTTCATAATTAAAACTTAATTAGTGATTAGGATATTTTGCAATTTATTCTTTATTTCCTTAAATAAAAATGACAAAAAAATGATTTTTTTTCTTTAATTAAATTCAATTTGGTTTTCAAGGGTCAAAACCCTAATTTCTCGCATTTATGTTTGTCGTACGTACTTTTCATTATATTTTTGTAATTGCTCTGAGGTTGTAATAGTCTTTTAAACTATGGTTTTATTTACTGTTTAATTTACCCCCAAGTTTTGGTTATATAATCCCCATTTCCCGAAGCCTTGTAATAATTAGATTTACTTTTTCGCTTTTAATTTCCACAACTATCAAACTGCTAGATGTATGCCTAGGATTGTATGCGAAAGACAATTTGCATGAAAATTAAAACAGTTAGAAAATCCTAATATGCAAAGATAACATTAACTGAAAAATCACACTTGCACATGCTCACTCTTAGGGTATACTCTCACTCCGGTTTCCTTCGGTAAACGGTCATGAAGCATAGGATGTTTTAGTGGTTATCCTCTATGCCCCAAAAGATCAAAAAATGACCCTTTCGACTGTTGCCTCGGAAAAGATCTTTAGGACTCTAGGATGGTTACTAAGGTGTCCTAACATTGCTTTTGTGACCGTACATCCCTTACGAATGTCCCTTACAACTCCAACGATGGTGTTACCTACTCCTTAATGGTAGGATAGTGTTGTCTAAAGGAAATGAGAAAAAATAATCTTTTTTCGAGTAGGTAGAATCTTAAGTACTTGCTCAATAAAAAACTTTTCACACAAACACCTTTTCAAAACAAACTTCGTCACATCCTTGAGGACTGATACAAGGGCTATCACGAAGTAAAACATTTTCAAGACAAACACACACAAGCAATTTGAAAAATGAGCAAGTACCTAAGAGCCCGTAGATAACTACGGATAGAAAGGGTGCTAACACCTTCCCTTTCTATAATCTACCCCCCGTACTCAAAAATCTCGAAAAAAGGTGTTTTCTGTTCTTTTTCCTTTTCCTTGATTGGATAAAATAAAAGTCAGTGGCGACTCTTGCTTACCGCGACATTTTGCGAACAAAAAACGCAAAACGCAAACCAGTATTAAACAGTCAGTTCTGCCACCGTATCAAAAATAGTATTAACTAATCAAGACCATGCAATGGAAAAAGCACTAAATGAGGTCATGCCTAAAGCTTACCATGGCTTATGTATTTGGCATTTGATTCAAAATGGCGTTAAGCACTTAGGCAATTTAATGAAATGTGAGTCTTTTTTTCTTAGTGACTTCAAGAAGTGCATGTATGGATATGAAAGGGAAGAAAAATTTGAAGAAGAGTGGAGAACTATCATTATGAAGTATGGCGTAAAGGAAAATACTTGGTTGCAAAGAATGTACACTATAAAAGGAAAATGGGCATCATGTTACATGAAAAAGGTTTTTACATTAGGAATGAGAAGCACTCAACTTAGTGAAAGTGTGAATGCGGATATTAAAAATTTTATGAATGTGAACTTGGATATTATCAAATTTTTTAAACTCTTTGAGGATGTTGTAGAAGAAAAATGACACATGAATTGAATTTTGAATATGAAGTGCGTCACAAGATTCTGAGACTTAAGAACTCATATTCAAGTATCTTACAACAAGTGTTTAAGCTTTATACTCCCACTATTTTTGAGCATTTCTAACACGAGTATGAGTTATTTGAAGCATGTTCCATGAAAAGTATTAATATGAAAGCATCACTAATTGACTGTGTTATTGTCATGGAGAGGCGTGGAAGAGTGACGAGTTTCATTTGATTTGGGTCAGAATTCAATTTATTGCTATTGTCATAAGTTTAAAAGTTTTGGCATACTTTGTTGTCATTGTCTAAGATTTGTTATTCATATGAATATCAAATCGGTACTTGAAACTTATATCTTAAAAAGATGGAAAAAATTAGCAAGAAGTCAGAGTTTATCTAATGTCAGTGTTAGCAAAATTGTAAAAGATGTTCATCTATCTCTAGCGTAACGCTGCAACGAGATATGCCCTCTCCTTATTAGGATTGCCAATGAAGCATGTAAAAGTCCAGAAACATCCAAGTTCCTTTGCAAAGTTCCTAATGAATTGAACAAGCATATACTAGAGTTTCAAAATAATCCAACAAGTATTTGTCAAGTGGGTGATTTTGTTGCAAAATTTAAAGAGATTTCAAGTAGAAACGTTGGCTCTTCACAAGCAAAAGGCTTCAAAAAAAG